TCGATTCCATGCACCTTTAAACAAAACCGCTTTTACGCGGGCTCAGATCTAATATCTGCCATTGGACGCCATATTTGCATTCGGTGTATGGTGGACTTTAACCTTGTAATACCTACCCGAAGAACTGTCACCATTTGCCGTAGATGAGAAGGCGTTAAAAATCCATATCTTGACCATTAGCGACAGAGGAAGAACTACGATAAAGAAAGGCAAAAGTTCTTCTCCTTCAGCAATTATGTCCATGATACGGCGTTACGAATCAATGAAACATTAAATAATATATTTAAACATTTTTTTTTTAGTTACGAGATAAACTACTGATAAAGGTTCAATGTGTCTACTTTACGATGACAAGATACTTTATAGAGGCAAATACAGGACGCGAAGAGGTTACACATACCTTTTTTGGCATCCAACATGTCGTGCGTTTTAAATGCACACTGAATGGCTTAACCTATTTTTTTCCTTTCTGCCTCGTTTCTCCCTTTTACTGATAAACCCTGAGTTAGCGGAGAGACTCTATGCAGGTGTGTACTGAGTATTTCAATTACTTCCTGAGCAAAATTTTCGTTTTCTTAACGCTGAGCAAAAATACACCGGCTTTTTGTGGCCATCAGCGAAAAGTTAATGAAACCCAATAGCCCATTTGCGAATTACCCTTGGCCTCATTTTCAAAACGAGTCCTCGTGCTCAACTATCCTTGTGAAAATGAGTTTAATTTGCATGTGAATGGAAACTTATTATCATATGAAAGGATTAGCACAAAGATTCGTTTTGAAAATGAGGCCAAGGGTAATTCGCAAATGGGTTATTTCCAGGGACCCTATGCGGCTTTGTTTACGTAAACTGTGGTTGTAACTATGGTAACCAAGGTAACAAGCATGAGAAATGTAATTGACTAGGATGAAAACGATTCATCAGAATTAATAAAGTGATTATGGTAAGTCTGTGGGATGCGAATGCGCTAAAACAATTAAGAGTGAACGACTTTGCTTGAAAAAGTAATTTCTTAAAGTCCAAGTGTTGAAGCGGCATTGTTGCCACAGGATTAAAAGATAACGTTGCAAGAGCACACGCTGAAGTGAGCCAACATTATCCCGTTATAACATGAGCGAACCGTTCGGAACTCCGAGATTAAGGCCTCGTTTGCGTTTGCTTCGCTCTCTTTTTGCCTCATACGAAGGACTTCGCGGAAAATGAGGGACTGCTCGCATTCAAGAATCGAATTCTTGGATTCAACTGAGAATATCGTCTTTCATGACCAATTGTGTATATATTTCGATGAAGCACTCTCTTTTTTAACCAATCATAGAGCTCGTTATAACGGCCCTCTATAGTTGGAAAATTAATGATCCAAGAAGATGATAAACCTAATTGGAAGTATGTATAGTTAAAGAAAGTTTCATTCAATAGCTTTAGCCTTTAGCGCGACTGGCTTCTTATCTTACCCTTACCATTATTCAGTTTTACCCTTGAATCAGTTGTGGAGGCCATGAAAATAAAGGAAATGGTCACTAATTTAAGAAGCTCATGATAGTCAAACAAGTTCTCCTCTACCATAGGAAATGTGAAGAGAAGAGTGTGGAGAATGTGGATATTAATGTCAAGGATTAAAGCGCCAACACAGCCTGTGAAATTGTGCAACTAAAATTGCTTTGCGTGCTGACCTTCGTAGGCATTGAAGTGTATCAAAGTACATTTGTTTTTATACCACATTAGAACTACCGTTCTAAGAATGTTGTAAAACAATTAGTTTATGTGTTTATTGTGCTTTCATAAAGATATGAGGCAATTGGGAAGTTTAGAGAGTACAAAAGAAGTTAGAGTCACCTCCAGCTGTGGCTCGAGAAACTCTAACGCAACTTTCGAGCTTTCCAAACTTCCTGTGTGCCTCAGATCTCGCTAAAAGCGCGCTGAAACTTCAACAATAGGCTAATCAACTGATCAATACAGATTAGACATGATGAGTTATTTAGCTATCGCCGACTTTGAATTAACTTTTCATCACAGCTCTTACACAAACTTGTTTGTCTGAAAAGTGATCGTGTTTTTCTGACATGAAAATAAAATAAATCTTGACTTGTTAAAGTGAATATCGAGTGGTTAAGTTAAAAATTACTAAAAGGGACATTTACGAAATTATCCCAGTTTTCATGTGCGGACTTACTTGCAATTGAAGTCATTATCATCATCATAGAAGTCTGTCAGGGGCGACAGTGACTATTTCATTTAGGCCCGATCAAATTCGTCCACGCAGCTCTTGTTGAAGTCCTAAATGTAATAACAGTTGGTCCTAAATGTAATAAGCCTCCAATGCAATAGTTTAACTGTGCTTGTGCATCCAAATTGCGATGTTTAAGTGACAAATGTTGCACCAGAGAATCCTCTGACCAAAATTCATGGTGTATTGTGGGCTCTCTTGCTGATTTTAATCAGGGTCTTTTTTTGCTTGAGATGTAAGCCCAGAAGCATTGGCTACAAACCTTCATGTTGATGTGCTTTTGACATCAAATTGACAGATCCCAAAACAATAGAACGCTGAGCAATCCGACCATCTTGACCGAACACGCTAGGTGAAGAGATTTTGTATTTTCGGCAAGTAATTTTTCATGGAAAAAAGTGCGTTTTCTTTTCAGTAATAACGGTTAACGGAAAATAGTGTCACATATGTTTCACATATGTTTCACATATCGCGACTGGCATATCATTCACAGTTCGCAGCTTTTAACTTTCTACAATCACGAGTCACGGCAATTAAAAACAGCCAATCACGTTTCTCTGAAAACTCCCACATTTACATTTAAAAATTGAAACGAGACGGACGAGACGAAATTATTTGTCTGACCATTTAAATATGCAGATTTAAAAGACAAAAACCTGCGACTAGTTGTCGAAGAATCAAGCATGAAAACTGAAAACTCTTAACCTTGGGATCCTTAAGAAATTTATGAGAAGACAAATCCGAATTTGCGGATGCATTGTAGCAGTTATAAACGAACGATGTAGTTAATTTAATATTACCACTAGTGTAGTTTACCCATTCAGACTAGGAACAATTTAGGACGTGTGAAAAAACTGAAGCGGAAGCTGTTTCCAAACAGAATTTACATAAACTTCAACATTGCCTATATTCAGGGATACAACCCGTTAATCGACAGCAGATAAAGGCGTATTCTTTTCATTTTCTTCTCAATACATTGGACATTATATTTTAATTTCTCCTTACCGTCTTCCAAAATATACCATAAGCTGCGGTGGACATATGTTGGAAGAAATCGAAAGTGATGACGCAGGAATATTGGCAGCTGAAGGCTTTTGAAAAGTCCCGCAGTATATGTACTTTCCTTAGTCTTAAAACTCATTAATTAAATGGTCTTAAATGCAACCCTTTG